ATGGAGGGACTCCAAATATAAGGCTGTTGGCAAATGGGATCTGACGCACGGTAACATAACTAAAAGTATGCAATAGGAGCAAGCTTCAAATTTTCCTTTTCCGAAGTCATGTGATATAGTCCCCTTAATGCCCCACCATAATCAGTAAATCAGACAACTAATACTATGAAGCTGGAACGCAAGAAATATTAGGAAACAATTTGGGGTAAAAGTTGTAATTCAAAAGCTCTATCAAATTGGAAATCAAATAAGAACAAATTGGTCAGACAAGAGACATACCAATAATCAGTTGCTTTGGGGTAGGCGCGTGCCAATGGATGGGGAAATTCTAAGGTTAGGCCTGCCTATTGAAAAGGATGTAAGGGCTGTTCTCTGATAAAAACAAAATTAAGGAAAAAGAATAAAACATGGATGAGAATTTTCAATCAATACTCACGTCCAGGGCATTGTGAAGAAAATGTGAAGCGGATACAGCAAAGAGCTGTCGGCAAACATGTGCATCCCTGCAACCAGGACACATAAATTATTTCAAGTTTCACGCAATAATGACATGGCACTTGCAACAACTTATCAATTCTAAATTGTCATTATACAAAGAGGATAATCTGATAAGAAGTTAAAATATATTTCATAAGCTCATCAAGGGATCACTAAGAAGCCATCAGTACAAATATCATTCGCACCTAGGTTCTTTAAAACTTGCCCAAGACAAACACTGGCTAAAGGAAGTCTATATTTAAAATTTTCAAACTATGGAATATCACAACCTATCCCGTTAATACTATAATTCCTTACACCATTTACTTGTATCATTAAATCTTCCTCCTTTTTCTTCGGGCTCCACACCCTGGCAAGTATGTGCTTAAAGCACAGAACATATTTGTATTTCATGTTTTAGATCCACCATCAATTTTATTGTATAACAAAATAAACATAAGTTTTGACTAAAATAAAAATGTTCTAACACTTCAATTAACAACTGGCAGCCCACAGCTTGATAATCACTTTAAAATCTGATTGCCAAACTTCTTTTATTCACTACACGAGAAAGCAAAGTTTAGACGAATTTATTCCAAATTTTATCATTTCACTTCCTGAGTTTGATGCAGCTTTTCCCAAAATTGAAAAAATCATCATAGAAGAAGAAGCTAAAACACCTATCCCCTAGCTTCCAAATAAGCTTTTCTAACTTATTTTAAGCTATTTTTTTGCCTCACAGCAAAAGCAAGTATGCACCTACACTCGGCACACTTCCAAAAACCAAAGCACTTTATAAGATGCACCAAATAGGTCCCAAACATTCAAGTTTACCATAATATATTGACTTTTGAGCATGTTTTATGATAATATCATAATATTGTGAACTGCTATTCACATGATGCATGTTAACCCAAATTAACACTTTTGTACTATTTTGAATGAACACATATTTTTCTTTTCCCAAATTTTTGAAGAGTGACCTGGGTTCAAAAGAAATAAAAATGATTTGATCCTAAGTTTCAATTGAATCCAATATTCCGTCCAAGTACAAACATAAAATATGTAATTTTCATATAACAATAAAGCGTCCAAGCATCAAAATTGGGGGGCACGCAATGGCAGGTATTTATCACTGCTTTCTATATTAGTCAGAAATTTCACAAGAGGGTGATGATAGAATTGTTTTTGAAATCAACAAAAAATTTATTAAAGAAGAAAGGTGTGGAGGACAAGAAGTCTTCATAACAGGAAAGAACTTAATCAAAATTTAAAAACAGCCAACAAAAAAGTAGAAAACAAGAAAATCTAATTTCATAGGGGTTGCAAAACAAGCAGCCAATGCCTAGAATCAAAAAAGGAACTCCCTTAACGCGCAGCCGTATCACCATAATGAGCCAAAAAACCTCAGCCTATCCCATAAAGAATCTGGCAGCAGCCCTCCTTAATCCAATAAAGATTCGCGTGAATTTCTCTCCAGCCAAATAATCCAGAAAATAGCACAAAAAAGATCGGGGGTTAATACAAAATTCCAAGCCAAATACAATAACTTGTATAACAAACCCATGACTCGATATCAACAAACCAAGCCTAATTATACCGGTTCATACCCATCAGACATTACCAAAAGAACCTAATTACTATTGTGTACAAGCGTACCATGAAATTAATTTCGCTAACCCATCAAAGCGAGCCATGAAATGAATGAATAAGAAGTTGAAAATTGAAATCAAAACATAACCAAAACTGAAGCAATAACTATACGGCACTTGTAAGTTACAGCAGAAAAAATCCTATGAACAACTGTAAAGGGTTTGATTGGTCATCTTACTGTGGAAATGACCTATTTGGAAAATGACACGAACTGCAAACCCTTTACAAAAACAAATTAAACACATATATTGCGATTTTTACGAGAGCGGAGTAAAGATTTCATCAGTATTTTTGAAGAGAAGAGAAGAGAAGAGAAGAGAAATTTGTATTACCGTGCCACTCGAGGCCGAGGACGGCGGCTGACGAAGCGAATCGGAGAGACCGTTCGAAGAGAAGAGCAGAGAGCATGAAAAGCGAAGGCGGCCGACAAAGGGGAGAGCGAAGCGGGAGCTCGCGTGACCAGTTGCTTGTAGAAAAAGGAACGCGAACGACGGCGATGAGAGCGAGAACGGTAGAGCAGCGGATGGAGCTTCTCGTGTTAGTTCCAACTCACATGCATGCAAGCAAAGAAGGATGGCGTATCGACGACCTTTCATCGCAAGTGAACGGAAGTCTGGCGGGCATTCTCCCTTCTCACTTCACGTTCTTGCTTTGTGAAATTTTGGTGGGTTTGTCGTCCTTGTCTGTTCATCCTTTGTGTATAAAATGAGAACCGAGAGGGGAGTGGTGAATTGTTCAGAAAATTATATCATCAGAAAAATTAAGAAAGGGAAATTTGGTTGAGTTAGAGGGCGAGAGTTTTATTTTTCCTTTCTTTCTTCCTCTTTTCCTTTTTCCTTGTTTTTTTTTTTATTAGATGAAATTTTTCTTTTTTGGTTTCTGTGAACGATGAAGCATTGGACTAAACAACAACGTAAAATCTTGTGTTATTTTATTGTGTTTTTATTTAATTAATTTGGGTGTCTTAATCCTAACAAAGTGGTATCATTGGTCGCATTGTGTGTTTTCGGAAAAACAGAGTGTGTTCTCACAAAATTTGGTCCAAAATCAATAGTGGTCGAAATCTAATTTTATATTCATATACCAGGGTTTGAAAATCCTCGACG